ACAGAAATAACTTTTGAGGAGTATTTCTGTTTCTCTGGAAAGTCACTTATGGGCCCAGCAGAGTGCAGCACCAAGACTGATCAGCATATGATCTACAGGGGTCAGATGAATCAGCACATCCATTTGAACTGCAGCAGACACCTGAACATATGCCAGAGGTGCTGTGTTCTACTTCTGTCTCCATTGCTGATATGTTGTAGATCTTAGTCAAGGTCCTTCGGAGCCTTTACTTGTGTGGATATTTGTCCTTCTGGTTAATTCTTGTGAATTTCTGCTTATAAAGAGCTTATTTGCAAAAGAAAGCAAAGAGTTTGAATAACCTTAAATATAGTTAAACTATATAACAATCAGAAAAGCATTGAGGTGGAATGGTTGATAGAAGTAGAGTGATGAGGCTCTATAAAGTCCTTATTTGTTGTGCACAAGAAGTCTGCATTATAGAGAACATATGTATTCCGTTCCCAAAAAGGATATGACAGAGCTAGAATTTTACTTTTTTGTGTGCTATTGGGTATGGATGTTTCACAGGATTTGGAAAGGCCCATACCCACAGTGCACATTAGTGAATTTGGGTCGGCCAACACCTTTCCTTTCCTGAGGTCAGTTTCATGAGCCACCATGGGCAGAAGCATTTCGGCTCACCACTGAAGTAAGAAGTATCAGGCAGCTGCTAAGGCAGGAGTCTTGTGTCTGGAAACCCTTTTCCATCTCAGTTGAAGGCTTGACCAGAAAAGTGGTCTCCAGTATGTCACTGAGAACTGCCCAAGTTTTTTGTTGTCTGTTATATTACCCCTGTTCTCAGATTTTCTGCGTTTTCTTTAATGTCTTCTTTTAATATGTAGAAGTGGTGCTCATCATGATGCCTTATGACATCACTGGAGTATATCCTGTAGTATTTGTGGAGAAAAAATAAGTGATTCTACTTTGGGGACCAGATACTAAATTTAGCAATCGTTTCTATACAAGCTAGAAGAAAGCGAGGTGGAAAGACTGGGCAAGGCAGTCAACAAACGATTTTGTAGGAGGAATGCAAGACATATATGGCTAAATATTTGTTTTCAGTGCACTTTTTGCCCTGATGAACATGTGTTTTTCAGACTCCTTTTTCCAGAGCACTAATAACTAGGCCATCTGTTTGTCTCTCTAAATCAGAACAAACTCCATGAAAGCCCACCTTGAAAAACAATTAGAAATTATCAGCTGTTTGTTTTAGCATTTAATAACTGTAATTAGCAAACATAATGACATGTTTGATTATTGCATCCCATGTCTGTGAGCCCAGTGGGAGGCAGAAGATGGGACATATTGATTACAGCAATTGAGCTTCTTCACTCCCCTCTATTTCTTGAGGCTGTGCATGTAAAATCAGTGTGCAAATCAAGGCTGACATGAAGCAAGATTAGCCTCTGTGAGTGGGTTGCTTGCAAGAAAGGACAGTTTCTACAAGGGTTTTAGTTTAGTAATTTTAGCTTAAATACAGCAAAACCCTAATACAGTGGAAGGTTCAGAAAACCTCATTTCTACTCCTGGCCCTTCAGATGCCTTGCTTTGAGATCTGGGCTGAATTTCTTCCCTCTCTGCTCTTCACTGTTACCCTCAGTTAAAAAGGAGATAATGATACAGAAGAGGACAGCTATGTATGAGATGTTAGACCCTCTGTAGAGCCATTGCAAAAAGAATTTCTTCTTTTAATGGTTCTTTTACATTAGATGGTGTAAATATCCCATTTACTCTCTGGTAGGGCTGAGGTTTGCAGTTTTAAAGCACCACAGAAAAGCCAATGTTTATTAGTATTTAAAAGAGCAGCCACAGTTGCTGAACTCTACAGGTCCTCAAGTGAATTAAACCCACTGTGCTCTGGAAGAAACCTGACATTTCTTCGTGCAGGGTCTTCAAAAAGTTGTAAATAATGCAAGCATTCATAAAAATTAGGGATTGCTCATGACTAATTGGAAACAAGTGAAAGATTTAAATATGTGCAATGCACTTGTAAGAATAATTTCATCCTATTACTCAAAGCGTAGAGCAGTAATTTTTATCACAAATGAGAAACATTTGTTCCTAACCCTCAGATTTCTTGAGGTTTGCCTCCTGTCTCCTTGTTTAGCCTTGCTACAGGAAAGTAAGCTTCAGTTCAGGCAATTATTCATCTTTCCACCATCCAGAAAACTCCAACTGGGTCACTATGAAACCTTCCTCCTCCAAAGAGAATTAACCCATTTTCTCCAATTTGTCCTGGTAACTTCTGACTCTAAAGCCATATTTATCCTGCTCCCCAAGGGACAGTTCAGCTGAACTGGCAAAGGAGAAGTTTTATCCTGAAGCAAAGACAGCGCAGAAATATTTTGGCCTTTGTTTCCCTTTCTGCAGCTGACAGTCCTTGCATTACTGTTAGCAGAAATACAAATAATTTTCTGACTAAACTTCCAGAATTCAGATTTTTTTTTAGAACTCACTTTGGTGGAAATATAGTTGGGAAATCAGTCCCTCAACCCAAACCCAATTTTTGATCACAACCAAACTGAGGCAAACAGTCAGCATCGTAGTGGTCGGGGCTGTAGGAAGATGGCGACCCTTTTTGAGTGCTTCATATCCTAGGAGAGGATTAGAACTCTGGGCTGGGTTGTCTCCTTCATCTTGTCTCTTAGCACTTTTTCACTTTGTGGAAATATTTAAATTATTGGGACTGGAGGAGGAGGGGGGAGCCTGACTAAGCAGTGGGCAGCATGTTCTTCTGGGATGCGATTCAAGTTCACGTCTCCGCTTCAGTGAATATCTGGAAACTTTTGAAAGCCTTGGTTACATCTTGATATGATGGGAAAGTTTTCAAAACCTTGAAAAGCTTCCCGTGTTGCAAAAAATCTTTCCCACCAACTTCGGTTTCTATATTGGTTTGCCATTCCATAGGCTGGCTTGCTTTTCTGTTGGTCACATCATGCATGATATAATGGTTTTGGCATTGTTATGGTGTGTGAAATAATCCAACAAAGGGAGCATGTGCTTAAAATAAGGATTTTTTAAGGCATGTACTTAGGCCTGAAAATAAAAATGAGGTTATTTCCTTGTAAATCACATCCTTGTTACATTACTCCCCCATCCTCATTCTCTCTGGCAGAGGGATGGGACAGCCAGGATGAGACTGAATTCCCCTGCATCCTTGTAGCCCCCCCAGTGTGCTCATTTCAGCAGAGGCACTGGGACTCTGAGTGCAAGAGCCCTATTTGGGCAGGAGTGGAAGGAGCAAGGGGCCTTTCAGGAGTCATTCAGAGGACCAAGACACTGCACACTGTGAGCCAAAGGCAAACATTGGGCACATTCTGTCAGCAGAGTTTAGACAGGACAGGTTTTGTACTCCATATGTACCCTCTGGCTGCAGGGGAACTCAAATTATTATATTATATATAATATACATATTATATATACATATACATATATAATAAAAGCATACATAGATATGCTTCTGTGTGACTTGGGTCATACAGAGAAACACATTTTGCTCAAAGGTGAGCTTGTACCTAACATGATATCAACAGAATAGACAGTCTCAGAGTAAAATGGATGGCGCTGTGCTGTCAGCTGAGAACTGCATCTACAAGTAACCTCTGCCTTGTAATCAGGTAGAAAAACTGTGCCTCGAGCTATGTTCATGTATCTCATCAGTTTGATGTCCACCTGCAGGAGATCCTGCAATGTGAAGCACCTCTTTGACTCTAATCTAAATTCTCTTCAGAGCTATTCTTCATCCTATGATGAGTAGGATAGTGCTTTTCCAAGGTTTGTTTTCTTTCTTTCCAATCCTGCTCTGACAGCAAAGCCTCCTAGGGCTCTTCCTATCAAATCACGGTGCTTAGGAGCCCTCCAGCAGTCACAGCCCCAAGGAGTGTGTGAGTCCTGTGTCCTGTATAAGGGAACACAACATAAAAGTGTCCTTGCAGAGCTTTTCCTTCTTTCTAGCCAGATAATTTGTTTCAAAGGAAGCATGTGAGTTCCCTTCTCAGAAGTGCTATTTCTCTTAAAGAGATTTAACTTTCAGTTGAAAAGTGCAAATTGATCTGCATTTTTACAGCTTGATTGCAGGGTCCTAGAAGTTCTGTGCCAGCTTTCTGAACTGTAATTTTGCTATGACTTTTTTTCCTAGAAAACGATGCTAACACACATCTGACAGCGCACAGTTCCTGAAAAAATCATGTGATAATACATGAAGGAATGACTAAACACTCAATGAGCAACCAGATTTCAATTTCAAGCTTATTTAACTTTATTCACAGCAGAGAATAAAACAAGGTGCTATGGAATAGGTTGTATTCACCCCTGTGTTTCTGATTGTATATTTCAGCGTAGAGCCACTCCTTAGTGGCTGTTCTAAGAATTTCTGTACAACATTAACTGCCAGACACTGTTTTGAAGGAGTGGATTTTAAGATAGGAAAGTCACAGGGGGAAAAAAAAAAAACATAACTCAAATTGCCAACATTCTAAATGGAAAGCATAGTAGGCATGAACTAATCAGAACTTCAGTTTCTAATGAATTGCCAGATAGATTAGCATGTTTGACTGCATAAACATGACTGGGGTACGCTGCATCCAACTGGTGGGACTTTACAAAATGCCTGCCCAATGACAGATGCAGCCCGTGGGTAACAGTGAGAAATACTTAACTCCTTTCACTTTGTTGCTGTTGACCAGCCTCAAACTAGCCACGCAGGAGCATTTTGTAGCACTGCCTGCCAAGAGAGGCATTGGATTGGATTGATAGGATTAGGCGAAAGGCAGAAGAAATGCTAGTAATAATTTTCTTTGTTGTTGTTTTTTTTCTTTTTCCCTTTCCTTTGGAGCTCCAGCAAATGCAAGCGTGTCTTCCTCAATTAGGCAAGCCTGAAAGCTACAAAGAGCGCACAGGCTCTTGAATGTGCCTTAATTTATGTTTATCAATTCAGTGCACATAGTTTTTTTGACGTGTGCTTCCTGCCTGATTTTCTAACAACCCTTTATTTTCCACAGGTGGCCGTGATAAACGAGGTGGTCCTGTCTTGACCTTCCCAGCCCGCAGCAATCATGACAGAATAAGACAGGAAGACCTTCGGAAACTTGTGACTTATTTGGCCAGCGTGCCAAGGTAAAGCTAGAAAGAAAACACTTCAAAGCTCAGTGTGGATGGATGGGTGGGGAACTTGTTCTTGGCAGTTGCTGATTTCCAAGTATTAACCTTTAGTACCTTCAGTTCTTGGGACAGAGTGCTCCCTTCCTCCTCCTGCATTCGCTCTAGTGGATTTTATCGTGCAAGCAGTGGTGCAGAAGTCTCCGAAAGCAGAGGCAGTGCTCCCAGACTTGGCCTTCAGGCTCAGAAAGCCAGCTCACAGCAGCAGTGAGGAGACACTCTCATTTTCAGTGTTTCTGTGCAGCTCTCCTGGAGGATGGGAAAGGGAGGAGTGCTTGGAGGCTCTGACACTTTCCTGAGTTTTCTCCAAGCTTGAGAAGGAAAGTGGGTGGACCGAAGGGGCAGTTTGCAAAGAGAATCACTTCAGATGGCTCTGCATGCAGGCCAGCTCTGCCTTTCCCTACGTTAGTGCCCATGGTTCTTCAGCAGGTCTCCATCTCTTTCCCAGGGATGCTGGAATACAGTTCTATTGTCAGTGCATATTTATCTTTGCATGCTTTAAGAGACAGTTTGTAGGGCTCAGTGCCCTGGTAGGTGTTTCTGAGCCAGTGTTTAATGCCTCAGAGAGTACAAGGCTGTGCACAGTCCAAAATCCTTTCCCTATTTTCAAGCCTATCCACTGTCCTCACTCTTCACTAGGTGAGGGGTACCCCAGGGTGAGTGTGGAGCTGAGAAGGGCTCTTCAGATTTGCAATGATGCACCCTCAGGAATTCCTCCTTTTTCATCCTGTGATACAGCCCATTCAGTAATGTTTACGTTATGGCAAAGAGTGAAAAGTCACCCTCTGAAATGGGAGGGGCTGATTGTATCTGGGTATCGAGAGGTAAGTGGCTAAGAAGTGCACTCAGTTCCTTAAACACTTGATGTGCAGAGAAAATTCTGCATTTGGTACAGAAGAGAAATGAGGGCAGTGGGCAGCAGAGACTTAGGGGCAAAAGAAGGCACATCTACCAGCTCTGCCAGTATCATCTCCTGCTGACAGGACTTCACAAGGCCACAGGCAATGCAATCCTTGCTGCACTGGACTTTGCTCATCAAGCTTTTACTGATGTGATTTTTCTTTCTAATTTTCCTGCTCCTTCTCTTTTCCTCTGGGCAGCTCTATTTGCAGACATATTGTAGGAAGATTACAGACATGTTGTGAGGTTGGGAGAGCAGTAGGTTACTCCCTGACTGTGTGTCCCAGGGCTTGGCAGTGCCCCTCCAGCTGCTCCAGTAATGAAACTGCTCCCTCACATTTTACCATCCTTTGCATGGCTGCAAGTAGAAAGATATGAAGTTGTCTGTTTTCCCTCAGAGTGTTGTGAGCAATTGCATAGCTAAAATGTTCTTCTGCCATGTCAAACTTCTCTGTTAATTGCTCTTCCTACATGGAGGTGGCAGTAACAGATGCATCCATTCTGTTCCCTGTTCACACAACTGAAGATGCACCTTTTGCTGCTTTTGGTTGCCTCACTGTTAAGAACTAGAATAAGCCATCTGACCTCTTCTTAAAAACCTCCTCAACTCCATATGCAAACATTTGGCATGGGCATAAATGTTAGGAAGAAGGGATGAACCAGCAGGTGACCTCTTTAGGTTCCTTCTGGTCCTGTTATGTGCTGCAGCTGAACTCACTGTGGTGGGAGGAAAAAAGTGATCATAACCTTCAAGGTTTTGGCACATGGCACTATGTAACCTGGGCGGCGTGTAGAAACACTGAAAACTCATTTTTCCCTAAATGTTTTGCTCATTGTAGCAAGGGCAACCAGCAGAACTTTCAAACTTATTTACTTTTTGGAAAAAAATAAATGCAAGGAACAGCCTGAATTCATATCACTGGCTCCCAGGTCCTATCTATTCCAGAATGACTGCTGTAATGAATAGCTGCATCCGTCATCCACTAGAACAAGCAGTTCCATTAGCTGAGACTCTGGGTATGATGTCGGGAGAAACTACTCTGATGTTCAGAGTGCTGAAAGGGGGAGAGATTCTCTGATAGCTGAAAAACTAGAAATTCTCTTTCATGAAATGAAAAAAAAAGAGGGGCTGTAATTTATCTTATTGACACCTGTATAATAACCTTTTCTTTATTCCCATTGCGGTGGTTTTTGAGTGAGACAGATTGCTCTCCACATTGATACTATCTGTCACTTAACCCCGGTTTTATATCTTAATGGAGGGGCAGAGGTGGCACATTGCTGGGAGCTGGGCGCAGGTATGAGATTGGTGATGAAACATGATGATAGATTAGGGTAAGTAAAACCTGGGTCTTGCTAGCAGCTCTCAAAGTTTCTGATTCAGCTTTCCATAATTCCTTCTTCAGAAACAGAATAATAATGTGGGTTTTCTGAAAGCAGCAATGTGTGTTTGAGTTAGAGCAGAATAGTGAGTTCTTTCATTGAGCTCGGAGCGGCGGTCAGGCGGCTGCCCGAAGTCAGTGGGGTTTCTCACCCCGCTGAGGTCTGCTGTGTGGGGGTAAGGCTTCATGTCTAGGAACTTCTGATTCTGATCTGGTACTCCTGGGTACGAGGTGAGGAAGGTGAGAAGCTGGCTGGTTGGCAGCTGTAGACTGATTCTTGTAGGCGTAATGGAAGGTCCTTTTCTCCAAACTGCTGCAGTACAATTAGTTACTAAGAAACTAAGATGCTTTTCATTAGAAGTGAAGATAATTGCCATGGATGGCAAGTCCCTACTGTTCTGCTGTTTTTAGCTTGTTTCATGTTTTCACAAATGCTTTCTAGATAAGCAAAGTTGTATATCTTGCAAATCAGGATAGCTCCCATTTACATGCAAATTTAAATGGGATGCAGTGTTTAGAAATGTGGAGGGCTTGACTGAATCTAGGATAACATCATGTTTATGATCAGGGGAGCTGAGCTGGTTTAGTAAGGGGGAATTTTCTGGCCTTGCTGAGGATTTTATGTCTTAAGACCGATGTAGAACCATCTATTCCTATAGAGTGAGTTTTGATTTATATGTGTGTAAATGAAACTAGCACCAGGCCAGTCTCTGCTGTGAACCCTTTGGAATTAAGAATTAAGTTATGCACAGACTATAGGACGATAACAAGGAGACTGAATATTATTAGCTTGAGTTATCTCCCTGCATGGCAAAGCAATACGATGAAGGAAATGTTCTTTGTCAGCTACAGTGAATCTTCCGGCTGAACACATCAATCTGTTTCAGAGCCAAGATAAACAGTCTTTTGAGCCCTCCACAGAGGGGAAACCCAAGATGCCTCAGAGGCCTGTGTTTTTAAAGACATCCACTTTTATTTGTCCTCTGTTTAAAACCAGCTCAAACATTTCCCAGTTCTGGGGGACATCCAGGACTCATAACGGTAGCAAAGTGTTTCCAAGGGGCAGCGCCACGTATTTGAGCAGCTTCTCAGAGCTGCCTGAGCCGGATTAAAGGTGCTAGGATCAGTAGAACAACAGAAGTGCCGCTAAAAATGAGTTTAATGATTGGGGCTTTTTAAAATTGAAAGGACAACGCGGGTTGGCAAAATGTGGCAATACTCAACGCTCTTGGATTTACTTTAAGCTCTTCTCTGATGACCTGTGTTACTGTGTGTATCAGCTCCTCTGGCCAGGAGTACTGTGAAACTCATTTTGTTCATTGATAGGAATTAAACCCTACAGCTCTACTTTCACTGACATGATCCTAGCACAAAAGAAGCTTTTGAGGATTGTTTTTGCTGGAAGCTGTTGTGGATCTACAAAGATATTCATGTATTTTAAAAATAACAACAAGGACTTCATAATAATTTGGGTAACTAAATATCTGGTGCCACACGTGAGATAATTATTCCACTGTACAGTTGCATCAAAATACCACATTAACAAATGAACTGAAGCTAATCAGGCTAGTGAAGGTTTAATATTTGCTTCTGACATAATTTGATTTTTTTAAAAAGGTAAGCATTTTGGAGAAAGAAGCTCATTAGGAGTATATAGCTGACTTGAATGCAAGTGGATTTAAGAGCCTTCCACCACTTGACAGCCAATTCAAATCCAGTTTCCACTGTACATGGCATAGGTATGTGATGCTGTTACTAATCACGATCTGCTAGTGACTGGAAAGCTTCTGTGGAAGTGACCAGCAGCTTCATCCCATGCCCTTTGAAAGGACTTCTGACCATATCACTGTTTTGTACCCATACCCACTTACTGACCACATAAGGACCAAGTTACACATTCAGTGCCAAGTTACATCTTTGCCTCTGGTTGTAAGTCAGTTCTCCAAAGAGGTTCTCTGATCTCCTACCAGCTGTGTTAATGACCTGATGAGAGCTGCATGTGACATTTTACTCCTAGATATCTGGACAATGTAATTGATGTCAGTATGCTGCAGTAAGTTTCTACAGCTCCAGCCTGTAACCAAAAGCTAGCAGAAAACGTGGACTTTCTAGAAATGCAGAGAGAGCAACAACAGCATCAGTCAACTTAAAAAAGAGGGAGAGAGTTGATAATAATTCAACATGCAAAACTGAACGAATGGGGCAAAAATAGATGAGTTAAAATCACAGACAAAAGAAATGAAGCACGCAGCATGTTCCTGTAGCATCTCCAGCTCTGGCGCCCCTGCTGGAAGGGGTGTGGGGAATGACCCAAGTATTGTTGCTCCTGTTTTTCAGCGGAGGGATAATAGCCTCCTGAGCTCTCTTCTGACAGTGTTTTGTCCAAACCTAGGGTAAATGGGGACTTTCCATATCAATTTCCAAGTTATTTCCTGCCTTCATTTCCTGCTGCTGGTTTCTGGATAGTGTAAGGACTGATCTTGCAAAGCTCTGAACCTCAAGCAAATGTCTTCTATTACTCTGCCTTTTGTGGGAGATAATACCACTCTCAGAGCAGCTCTAGCTCTGTTTGCTGCTGAGAATAGCTCTGCCTTCCAGCTGGGTGGCTGTACAAGTGTTTTCAGACTGGTTTTGTGATGAACAACTCAAATAGCACGATGCTGAGCTTTGTAGGTA